TTCTAACCTCCTTGCTGCAGTGATTTTTGCTAGATCTGTGTTTTTATTCACATGTGCTGATCACCTGTGGGCATTGCTTGCTCTGCTGTGGATTTCTATCCCTTTCCCTTCTATCACTTCCTGGCCTACCTCCCAGTTTGCTTCCCTGTATAAGACATTCACAGAGCAGCCCACGCTGCCTGATCGACTTCCCAGTTTCAATGACCTCCTGGTTTGCCTTGCATTACTTGAATTTTGTGTCTGACTTCTTGTGTACTGACCCCAACTTTATTTACCATTTTTGTCTGCCTTCTGCGCCCCCTGACCTTGGCTCATTTCACTGAATCCTCTTCTGTCTCCTGCTATCTGTTCTCTGCACATGCTGGGCATACCTGGGGGCTGTGACCTGGTTCCAGCTTGCTGCAAGTCCATCCCCACCATCAGGGGCCCTGGAAAAGAAGCAGGCTGGGGCTTAGACTCTGCACCCTGGAGAATCCAAAGTTGGCATTCTACAAGGGCTCACAACCACAGAAACCTGACAATAACAATGTGACTACTGACAGCTAAAGTGAATAACGTTGATTATCTTATTACAATGACATCTGATAGTGGGTGGGATATATTAGGCAGCAAGTGAACATGTTGTCTCTGAAGTTGATGTGCCGAAAGCAAAATTGTAAGGATGTGAGCGACAAGGGACATGAGCATCTGTGTGATGTGCCAAAACAGCACGTCTATCACGATCCCACTTTGCACACTTACAGGACTTAAAGGATCTGCTACTGACAGCTTGGTGCTAAATACTACAGTATACATTCAGAGGTATAGTGGAGTCCATTCCCCGACGGATTATGGTAGGTGATCATAATGTTATGGCTCCGTGGTGTATAAAATTCATGCAGAAAGTAACACTGGTGGGAACCAAAAAAAAGGGACACTATACACTTGTTCACAAAGATTTTCAAAAAATGTGGAAATTTTTTCAAAGTTGTCCCAAGAACTGTTCCTGACAAATGCATTTACACTTCAAAAAAAAAAACAAGTATACAAGTTACAAGTATTTGCTAATCTTTGCTGTCTTACATTCTTGCTTACTTCAGATTGCATTTTGTGATTATTTATCCAATTACTCCAGCAGCAGAAGATAAATGTACTATTTCCCATTTGAAGTGGGTGAAGTATGATTGCAGTAAAGTTATGTGATCCATCTAAAACCTAGCTCAGGTGAGATTAACGGCGTAGTAAGTTGTTTGTGATGTAAAATGTAAGAATAACCAGGTCTTTGCAAGCACTGCATATTTTGCTAGGATGGATCAACACAGAGATCCCTGGAGAAAGATAAGAAGAATTTTATATTGCCTTCGCACAGGATTAAAAATGAGCTAAAGTGTGTTCGGATCCTAGTCCACACCCACTGGATCACTTCTGCCAAGATGCTGTCACTGTATTTGGCCAATCATAAGTGAGCAGGGCATTCCCTGCCTCACAGCCGTACATTTACACACCCCTTTTATACATCTATGGGGTGGGGAATGCCTCAGCCGATTATGACTGGCCAAGTACAGTGACAGCTTCCTGGCAGAATCGCTCAGATGGGTTCGGACTAATATCTGAACACACCAGAGCTCATCCTTAACCCTGTGCAGAGGGGATGATTTACTAAAAGAGTAGAGACTGTTCACTTTGCTAAATAAATGCTACTGAATACTGTGAACCTGTGTGCACTTTGAGTACCCAATCATATGCTTGAGAAAATCCATTTTTTTTAATTCAGTCACACAATATTGGGTTTTCAAACTGAACACAGCTTCATCTTATTCACTAACATTCACTTTGCAAAGTAGACATTCAATTTTCTATGTGAGCAGCCTTTCCTTAATAAATCAACCTTAGCTTGGGTCTGTTTCCATGGCCATTTCGTATTGTTCCTTTTCTGAGGAGAAGGCTCTAGATAAGAGCAGCAAGCATTTGGTGTTCTAGAACTTACTTGATAGTCACTTGCAGTGTGAAAATTTCATTTTTACAGTTGTAACAATAGACATAATTTAGAAATGAGACCCACAGTAACTAGTCAAATGTAAAATGTTAGCATTTTAAAAACATTCTTATTGTTGCCTCCAGGAAATACAGACAGTATAGCCTTCCTCAAAGAGAATTCAGCTTGTGTAAGTTTAGGTTTTCTTAGATTGTAAGCTCTGAGGAGCAGAGCCCTCCTAACCCTCTTGTATTGTTGCTGTATTGTCTCCCGGTATATTGTAAAGCGCTGAGCAAACTGTTGGCGCTGTATAAATCCTGTATAATAATAATAATTGTAAGTTGGGGGGGGGGGGCTGCGGTGAAGAATAGGGAACGTTTGTGCAGCAATCTGTGCAGCCTCTGCTTTAGGCTTTTTCGAACCTAGTACAGGGTTGTTTTAAAGAGGAGCATTAGTTTTATTAGTTATACTTGTTCATATTAGTTACATACAGGTGAAACCCAAAAAATTAGAATATCGTGCAAAAGTTCATTTATTTCAGTAATGCAACTTAAAAGGTGAAACTAATATATGAGATAGACTCATTACATGCAAAGCAAGATAGTTCAAGCCGTGCTTTGTCATAATTGTGATGATTAGCCCATGAAAACCCCAAATCCACAATCTGTGAAAATTAGAATATTGTGAAAAGGTGCAATATTCTAGGCTCAAAGTGTCCCACTCTAATCAGCTAATTAAGCCATAACACCTGCAAAGGGTTCCTGAGCCTTTAAATGGTCTCTCAGTCTGGTTCAGTAGGAATCACAATCATGCGAAAGACTGCTGACCTGACAGTTGTGCAGAAAACCATCATTGACACCCTCCATAAGGAGGGAAAGCCTCAAAAGGTAATTGCAGAAGAAGTTGGATGTTCCCAAAGTGCTGTATCAAAGCACATTAATAGAAAGTTATGTGGAAGGGAAAAGTGTGGAAGAAAAAGGTGCACAAGCAGCAGGGATGACCGCAGCCTGGAAAGGATTGTCAGGAAAAGGCCATTCAAAAGTGTTGGGGACTTTCACAAAAAGTGGACTGAGGCTGGAGTCAGTACATCAAGAGCCACCACACACGGACGGATCCTGGACATGGGCTTCAAATGTCGTATTCCTCTTGTCAAGCCGCTCCTGAACAACAAACAACGTCAGAAGCGTCTTACCTGGGCTAAAGAAAAACAGACCTGGTCTGTTGTTCAGTGGTCCAAAGTCCTCTTTTCTGATGAGAGCTACTTCTGCATCTCATTTGGAAACCAAGGACCCAGAATATAGAGGAAGAATGGAGAGACACACACTGCAAGATGCTTGAAGTTCAGTGTGAAGTTTCCACAGTCTGTGTTGATTTGGGGAGCTATGTCATCTGCTGGTGTTGGTCCACTGTGCTTCATTAAGTCCAGGGTCAACGCAGCCGTCTACCAGGAGATTTTGGAGCACTTCATGCTTCCTTCCGCAGACGAGCTTTATGGGGATGCCGACTTCATTTTCCAGCAGGACTTGGCACCTGCCCACACTGCCAAAAGCACCAAAACCTGGTTCAATGACCGTGGGATTACTGTGCTTGATTGGCCAGCAAACTCGCCTGACCTGAATCCCATAGAGAATCTATGGGGCATTGCCAAGAGAAAGATGAGAGACATGAGGCTGAACAATGCAGAAGAGCTGAAGGCCGCTATTGAAGCATCCTGGTCTTCCATAACACCTCAGCAGTGCCACAGGCTGATAGCTTCCATGCCACGCCGCAATGAGGCAGTAATTGCTGCAAAAGGGGCCCAAACCAAGTACTGAGTACATATGCATGTTTATACTTTTCATAGGTCCAATATTGTTCTATGTACAGTCCTTGTTTTATTGATTGCATGTAATATTCTAATTTTCTGAGATTGTGGATTTGGGGTTTTCATGAGCTGTAAACCATAATCATCACAATTATGACAAATCACGGCTTGAACTATCTTCCTTTGAATGTAACAAGTCTATCTCTCATATTAGTTTCACCTTTTAAGTTGCATTACTGAAATAAATGAACTTTTGCATGATATTCTAATTTTTAGAGTTTCACCTGTATATAAGCTTTGCTTCCTTTCTCATAGTGCTGTACATTAACTGTGCCTTGCTGATCTACAAGACAGGATCTGTTAAGTTGTCTCTAATAACATATTTCCAATGTAGTTGTCAATAAAACAAACAAATTACACGAGGGTCAAGGATCAAAATAGTTTAATCATTGATTGTGTTTAAATACAGCCTTGGAAACACCATCATTGCTTCTGGCAGCCAGTGATTCCACGATCTTTGCCTGGGTCTTAGATCACATGACAGAGCTCAGAAGCACTGTTTTTCATACGTTACACTTTGTTTGCCAAAAAAATAATGTGATTTCGTTACTGTACGCAGACATATTGATTAATGTAAAAAGTGAATTAACAAAAGGTTCACTTTAAAATCTTAAAATATTTGTATAGATCAATGCTTGTTCCAAGCATGTTTAACCTCCCTAGCGATCTGATTATGTCCATATTTCTGTGCTCAAAGCGGTACATTTTTTTGCATGGAAATATGTAGTTTTTTTATTGTAGGCCTGTAATTTTTAGGAATAACTCACTGAAATCTGTCCGAACAAGAGTCTAGTAAACATCCCGGGTAGGATAAAACTTGAAACACGAAATCATAAAATCATAAAAAATATTAATATAATAATAATAAATTTAATTCAATAATATAATCAAACCAAAAACACTGAAATTTGAAATATAGCGCCAAGTTTGCACATCACTGAGCAAAGTCGCAAAATCGTTTTCAGTGTCTGATGACGAATTTCCCCACAAATCATTATCACTCAATTCTGCAAGTGGTTCTGATTTACTATCGCTGTTCTCTAGCTGGTCTAAAACCGCTTTTGACATAAAGGGACGCTTTTTGGACGCCATGGACATTTCTCAGTTTCCAGGCAGGGCACAGGACAAAGCACTCGGGACAAAATGTACGTGAAATGGCTTGATACAGTAATGTTTTACTATGTGATTTTAGTGAATGTCACTTTTTGTCATTTTCAAATTTCCCGCCGTTCCGTCCCCCCATACGTCCCGATGCTCGCAGGGGACGGAACCCAGATGACAGATGCCGGCATCCGCCGGATTACATTGCCGGGGACACTGCAGGAGGGACATCGCGGGAGCGCAGGACAAGGTAAGTGATCGAGGGATCCCGGAGCAGCGCCGCATGGTAAGCCCGAGTGTAGCTCGGGGTTACCGCTTGTGGTACTGAAACTTTATCACGAGCTACACTCAGGAATACCGCCAGGGAGATTAAAATGAATGTAAAGGTTTAAGGTTTATTACCTTAATGCATTGTCTGCATTCAGGAATAAACTCTTCTATGTTCAGCTCTCTCCTCAGACCCCCCGAAATACTTACCTGATCTTGATCCAGCACTGCTCTCTCTCTCTTATCAGAGGGACTGAGGCAGCAGCTGGAGCCATTGGCTTCTGCTGCTGTCAATCAAATCCAATGAGGAGGGAGCAGGGGTCAGGGCTGAGCTACACTGTGTGTGTCAATAGATATGCCACCATAGGAAGTGGCTGACACATGGAGAAGAGGAGATGAGAGGGTGCTGGGGAGGAACCTAAGAAAAAGGAGGATTGGGGGCGCTCTGTGCAATACCATTGCATAGAGCAGGTAAGTATAACATGTTTGTTATTTTTAAAAAAATGACTTTAACCACTTGGCAACCGCGCTATAGCCGAATGACGGCTACAGCGTGGTTGTCCAGTTCTGGGAGGGCGTCATATGATGTCCTCCCAGATACACGCTCCCATGTGCCCCCCCCAGCGATGCGTACCTGACGATCTCCAAGACCGCTGTATCCTACGAACACAGCTGATCATGTGATGTGGTAAAAGGCCAATCACAGTGGCCTTTTACCATGTGCTCAGCTGTCTCCAATGACACAGCAGATCACAATGTAAATACAGTTGCCGTTTATTGACAGCACTTTCCTCACGCTGTCACAGCACAAAGAAAGATAACCGGCAATTGTCAGACAACAGATCGGCACTGATCATCAGGGCACTGATGATCAGTGCCCTGACGATCAATGCCACCCACCAGTGCCCAGCAGTGCCTCCCATCAGTGCCCAGCAGTGCCACCCAACAGTGCCCAGCAGTGCCCCCTCATCAGTGTCCAGCAGTGCTGCCCAGCAGTGCCACCCATCAGAGCCCAGCAGTGCCGCCAGTCATTGCCTCCAGTCAGCGCCGCCCGTCACCCATCAGTGCCCATCATTGCTGCATATCAGTGCAGCATCATCAGTGCCACCTCATCAGTGCAGCCTATCAGTGCCCATGTTGCTTATCCATGCAAACTCACCAGTGCCCGTCAGTGCAATCTCAACACACTTCAGTGAAGGAGAACAATTACCTGTTTGCAACATTTTATAATAGAAACAAAGAAAAACATTTTTTTTTTTTAATTTTTGGCTCTTTTTTTGTTTATTGTGCAAAAAATAAAACACCCAGTGGTGATTAAATACCGTCAAAAGAAAGCTCTATTTGTGTGAAAAAAATGATAAAAATTTGCGTAAGTGTTGCATGACTGCGCAATTGTCATTCAAAGCGCGACAGCATTGAAAGCTGAAAACTGGCCTGGGCAGGAAGGGGGTATAAGTGCCCAGTAGGTAAGTGGTTAAAGGATAAGTTCGCCTTTTTGACAAAAGTAATAAATTCACATTTTTTCCAGGTAAAAAAATGTGTATTTATAATTTTTGTCTGCAGGAGCCTGGAAAGCAGATATACTGACAAGGAGTTTCAATGAACTACCACGGCACTCCACAGTGCTGTGGTAGTTTATTGAAAACTACAAGCCCACAGCCACTAAGACTGCCAGGACCTGTAGGCACTCATTCACAGAACTCTGTGAATGAGTGACGCAGCCGTGTGGTGGCGGAGCTGTTTTTAAATCCGACAGATGGAACTTCTCCCCATACTATCTGTCAGAGGGAGGGGGGGGGGCGGCAAGCACGGCTGCAGCTATGGGAACATGTTACATGTTCCACCCTAAAAACGTGTGGAACATGTAACATCTTCCCAAAGGTGAACTTATCCTTTAAAATCACTTTAAACTCACTTACAGTTAAACTGGCTCACTACCTCTGTGGGAAGTCTGTTCCAAGCATCAACTACCTGTATGATAAAATTATACTTTTCAAGGTTAGTTTTTAACATTCCTCTTGCTAATATGAGGCCATGTCCTGTGCATTTGATTCTGGCTATATGTTGAAAATACTGGCATCCTGAACCTTATTCACGCCTTTAATGTATTTAGAGGTTTCAGTCATGCCCCCTCCTTTCCCCAAGACTGTACATGACAAGTTCCCGAAGTCTCTCCTGATATGTTTTATCCCTCAGACCTGTCATCAATTTTGGTGCCTCTCTCTGAAATCTTTTTATAATGTAAATATCTTCTTTTTGTAAGTGAGGTCTCCACTAGATAAAGTGGGGTTGATTTACTAAAATTGGAGAGTGCAAGATCTGGTGCAGCAATGCATGGTAGCCAGTAAGCTTCTTGCTTCAGCTTGTTCAAGCTTTGATTAAAAAAAACATGGTAGCTGATTGGTTTTTATGCATAGCTCCACCAGATTTTTAACTCTCCAATTTTACAACATCAACCCCAGTATCTCTACTGCTTTGACTAATCTAACAATTCCAAATCACATTCTATGTTAGAAGCACCTTAGAGTTCACACCTTTGTGTCATCAGCAAAAAAGACAGACATACCTTACCTTACCCACCAAACCTTTAGTTACAATAGAACTGGACCTAGTACAGAGCCTGGCAGTACACCAGTGATTGGTCTCTGTTCCAAATAAACCTCATTTACAACTACACTGTAAGGCTACGTTCACACTAACGTTGTCAGCAGGCGGCAGACAGGCGTTTGGGAAGCGTTTGTACCGCTTTCCAAACACTTCAGCAGGGGCGGACTGACAACTCATGGGGCCCCCGGGCAATAGGGGATCATGGGGCCCCCGTGTCTATGCCCAAACTCAAAAAAGCCTATGACAAAGGTACCAGGGGCATCTCATGGGGCCCCCTACTGACCCCGGGCCCTCGGGCAGTGCCAGAGTTTCCAAATGGTCAGTCCGCCCCTGCGCCTCTGAAAATTCTGCACATTGCAGCACATAGTGCTGTTCACACAGAAGTGTTAGCGTTGCGTCGCGGCAAAATGGACGCCTCTGGTCGAGTCAGGAAGAGTTGAAGCCTCCTATTCAAGTCTATGGCCGGTGTTTGCGATGCAGTTGCAAGGTGTTTGTGGAGCGTTAACCATTCAAACTTCATTATAGGCATTTGTGGGGCCTTTTTAGCACTTGGCAAACGCTTACCAAGTGCCACTAAACCGCGCATACGGCATTTTTGGAGCGTTTGCGGAGCATTAAAAACGTTTCACAAATGCCGGACCAACAATTGTCAAACGCTATCGGGGCATTTGGCAAGAGTTGGAAAAAAAGTCAAGTGTGAACGAGCCCTTATACAGTCAAAAATTGATAATGTTTAGGCATTCTCATGTTTATTTCTTTTGTTTTTATTGGTCTGACACAAAAAAGTGGAGTAACAAAAAGCCAAATGTTACAAATTCCACGCAACACCCCCCCCCCCCCCCCCAAAATGGACTGGACAAAATTATTGGCACCTTCTCAAAATAGTAAGAAATAATTAGCTTGCACCATATGTCGCCATCTGAATGAAAAGGGACACTATGATAGGAGACCCAGGAGGACCCCACTGCTAACACAGAAACATGAAAAAGCCAGATTGATCCAAAGCACATGTTAAAAAGCACCCAGAAATGGTTTAATACAAAGCGCTGAAGAGTACTAAACTGGCCAGTAATGAGTCTAGATCTCAGTCCCATAGAGCACCTGTGGAGAGATCTCAAAACAGCAGTTGGGTAAAGAAACCCTTCCATTTCCAATCTGAGAGACCTGAAGCAGTTGGTGAAAGAAGAGTGGTCCAAAATTCCAGTAGAGAGGTGTAAGAAACTCATTGATGGTTACAAAAAGCGATTGATTTTAGTTATTTATTCCAAGGAGTGTGCTACCAAATATTAAATTGAGGATGCCAATAATTTTGTTCAGTCCATTTTTGGGGTTTGGTGTGGAATGTATCACATTTGGCATTTTGGTTCTCCACATTTGTGTGCCATACAAATACAAACAAAATAAATAAACATGAGAATGCTTAAACATTTATAATTGCAACAATTTTTTTGGCAAAGTGGTACATTACCTGACAGAACTGCAGGGGTGCCAATATTTTTGGCCATGACTGTATCTATCCTTTGACCAACTGTGTATCCACTGAACCATTCAAGGGTTAAGCCCTAGCTTATACAACCTTTTTAGGAGATAATTATGAAGAACTATATCACATGCTTTGCTGAAATCAAGATAGGCTATGTCCACAGCACCATCTTTATCCAAAACATTTGTGATCTGGCATGATCTGCACTTAGAAAAGCTATGTTGCTTTGGGTCCAGCATGTTGTAAATTTTATAAGAGTCATTGATCTCTTTTTTTTTGAGTGAGTGATACCATTAGTTTTACTACTACAAATGTTAAATTCACTGGCCTGTTCTTGTGGATAGGTACAATATTAGCTTTTTTATTATTATTATTATAATACAGGATTTATATAGCGGCAACAGTTTTCACAGCGCTTTACAAAATGAAGGTAGACATTACAGTTACAATACAATTTGGTACAAGAGGAAACAGAGGGCCCTGCTCGTTTAAGAGTTTACAATCTAAGAGGGAGAGTTGAGTGATACAAAAGGTGATAGCCGTGGGGGATGAGCTGATGGATTAAGGGGATTAGGAGATAGTCTGACAGATTGGGGTAGGGAATTCCATAGGATGGGAGAAGCTCAGGAGAAGTCCTGGAGGCGAGCATGGGAGGAGATGACACGGAACTAGAGAGCAGAAGGTCTTGGGAGGATCAAACAGAGCGTTTTGGTTGATATTTTGAGACCAGGTTGGTGATGTAGCTGGGGGCAGAGTTGTGGATGGCTTTGTAAGTTGTTGTTAGTACTTTGAAATGTATTCGTTGGGCGAGTGGAAGCCAGTGGAGGGATTGGCAGAGAGGGGTAGTAGACACTGAACGGTTGGTAAGGTGGATGAGCCTAGCAGCAGTATTTATGATGGACTGGAGGGGAGATAGCCTATGTAAAGGTAAGCCAATGAGGAGGGAGTTGCAGAAATCGAGGCAAGAGATGACCAGGGAGTGAATTAGAAGCTTTGTGGTATCATTGGTTAAGAAGGGGCGTATTCTGGAGATGTTGCAGAGGTTGAGGCAGCATGATTTGGACAGGGATTGGATATGGACCTGAAAGAATAGTTTAGAATCCAGGGTTACCGCTAGCACCCTGGCATGTAAGGACGGGTCGATAGTTGTGCTATTGGTTTTGACAGAGAAATCAGGGGAAGAGGCATGTGGGGGAGGAAATATTATGAGCTCAGTTTCGGATAGATTGAGTTTTAGAAAGTGGTGTGACATCCAGTCTGATATGTAAGTTTTCCGGGAACTTCTTCTGTTAGAAGTGATTGATTAAAAATATTAGTTAATGGTCCAACAACTATACCTCAAAGTTCTCTCAGAACTCTGGGATAAAACAATTAGGACCCACTCAGAGCCAGTTCATCTGTTACCTCTGCCTTTAGGCCTGGTTCACACCAATGCGTTTTTTTTTGTGCTTTTTGCAGAAATGCACTACAGTCCATTTAACATGGTTTCTTATGGGCCACGTTCACATTTATGCTTTTTTGAGCAGCTGCATTTTTGGAAAGGATCATTGTGATGGAAGCGTAGGCAGGACAGAACACACAAAGAAGATGGGGAACACACAAAGCTTTATTGAACTATGAAATACACTCAATCAGGACAGTTCATGGCACTCCACGACATGCGGCTTGTAGGGACACCCACGGTAAGCGGGCTCACGGGGACTCAACGGGACCTTCGCAATGGGGTCTGACCTCAGCACAACCCCCACACAGTTTTCTAAGGACAACAGCAGGCTCACGGGGACTCAACGGGACTTTGGCTGTGGAGTCTGGTCTCAACACAGCTCCCACACAGCTTACTAGGGACAACATCAGGCTCACGGGGACTCAACGGGACTTTGGCTGTGGAGTCTGGCCTCAACACAGCTCCCACACAGCATACTAAGGACGACATCAGGCTCACGGGGACTCAACGGGACTTTGGCTGTGGAATTTGGTCTCAACACAGCTCCCACACAGCTTACTAGGGACAACATCAGGCTCACGGGGACTCAACAGGACCTTGACTAGGGGGCTGACCTCAGCACAGCTCCCACCCAGCTTTCTAGGGACATCGGGCTCACGGGAACTCAGCAGGACCTTGACTAGGGGGCTGACCTCAGCACAGCTCCCACCCAGCTTTCTAGGGACATCAGGCTCATGGGGACTCAGCAGGTAGCGATGGCTCAAGCACTCAGGGGCATCCCAGGTAGCTATACCCCGGGCACGCCATGGGGCGGTTCAAGTAAGGGTAGTCTGGGCATGCAATAGGGGCAGCTCATGACAAGGGTGGTCTGAATGCACCTTAGGGACAGTTCAGGACAAGGGTGGTCTGTGCGCACAATAGGGACAGTTCATGACACGGGTGGTCTGTGCGCACAACAGGGACAGTTCAGGACAAGGGTGGTCTGTGCGCCCAATAGGGACAGTTCAGGACACGGGTGGTCTGTGCGCACAACATGGACAGTTCATGACATGGGTGGTCTGAGCGCACACTAGGGACAGTTCAGGACAAGGGTGGTCTGTGTGCACAATAGGGACAGTTCATGACATGGGTAGTCTGTGTGCACAGCAGGGACCGTTCAGGACAAGGGTGGTCTGTGTGCACAATAGGGACAGTTCATGACAAGGGTGGTCTGGGCACACAATAGGGGCAGTTCATGGCTTCTAGGGACACTCAGGATAGGCGTCCTGCAGATGCTCAGCAGCAGGCTGCTTCCAGAGGGGGGTAGGCGACTTGCGAACGCTCAGCAGCAGGCGGCTTCCAGGGACAAAGTGGTCAGCAGACAGGACGGCTTCCCAGGGGCCCAGCAATCAGCAGACAGGGCGGCTTCCCAGGGCGGCTTCCCAGGGCCCCCAGCGATCAGCAGACAGGACGGCTTCCCAGGGGCCCAACGATCAGCAGACAGGATGGCTTCCCAGGGGCCCAACGATCAGCAGACAGGACGGCTTCCCAGGGCCCTCAGGGATCGGCAGACAGGATGGCTTCCCAGGGCCCCAGCGATCAGCAGACAGGGCGGCTTCCCAGGGCCCCAGCAATCAGCAGACAGGGCGGCTTCCCAGGGGCCTAACGATCAGCGGACAGGATGGCTTCCCAGGGGCCCAACGATCAGCAGACAGGATGGCTTCCCAGGGACCCAGCGATCAGTCGATAGGGGCACAGCGGGCTTCAGAAGGTAGGGACACAGCAGGCTTGCAGGGGCTCGGCAGGGTCTTGGCGGTGCGGGGTCTGCGCCTGGGATGGTTCTGACCTTTGGGGGAGTCTCATGCAGAGCGCTCAGTGATGATGGCTTCGGAG